TCCCACATAACAAGTCGATGAGAGCAAATATTGAGCGCGGAAAGAAGTATGAGAGACAAGAGAGAGTGTGTATTGGGGTGGGTGTTGGCTGCTGTTCCTTACCTCCGGTAACAAATATCACTTTCCCTTCAAGGGACGATATCGACGGAGTTGGATCATGAAGATCCTTCTCATGAACAAAGAGGGCTTTCATTTTTGATATCGGTGGATCGTTGGACGTAACCGGAAACGAAGAAGGGGACGAACGGCGGACGATGCAAAACAATGCGAACGAAGCAGTTGGCTGTGTTCCGAGACTGGCGATGAAGATTTTTGTTGCTGCTCAACAGAAGATGCCGACGTGCGTGAACCGTGGAGTTTGATGATGTATGTGTCGATTTACTTGAAGTGATGTCAATTTCGTCCGGTGCTTATGGCAACACACCGAAGTCCGTGTACTGATACCGTATCTTCAGACGATGTCAAGTCTCAGACGAATCCGGTACGTGAAGAAGTCGGATACTAAGAGCTCTGTTTGGTTGGAAAATTGGCGAAAGTTTTGTGTCAACTGCCCTTGAGGACTTGGTGTTCTAGATCAATGATCAGATTGAAGGCGCAGAGATGTCTGGCACTCAGAGTTGAAGCAGATAGGCGCTCAGCCATTTATACCAGGAAAGCTTCGTCGTCAAGAGACATTCAAGACCGTCGCCTCACATGTTCAAGCCTACAAACACATCATCATTGCATCTTCACGCAAAGGCAATTGAATTGCTCCGCCGGCAATGTTATTCATCCGCCCATCTCCCCTCCAATTCCACAAGCTTTGCTGTTGTCGCAACGCGGCAGCCTAACCAGTCCATCACCAAGACACAAGCCCCCTATTTTCTCGACGGATGAAGCCATCACCAGTGTAAGCCGTCTGCATCGGCCACCTCCCCGACGTCAAGCCTGACCCCGTCTAAACCCCTTTCGGAAAGCAAACTGTAAGCCGGCTGCATTGCTGGCCACGCGCAATCCTGAGTCACCCGGCTCCCGAGCCGCTACCCAAAAACAAGCCCGCCTCACTAGCCTCGCGTCTGCGCCAAATGCCGAGGGAGCGCATCATAAGCATATCCGCGGAACCGACAAGGCAGGTGAAAGACAACGGGCAGACGTGACGTGAGGCTAGGCCGGATTCGGGGGTGGGGGACTGTAAGCCGATGGCATTCTGACAGAGCACCCCAGCACAGTGAGTTCGCGTTTCGAGCAGTGAGGGTGTAAGCTTGCGAGCCCCTCTCCTTGGAGCAGTTTTCAGCTGGCGAGGGCATGAACGGTTGGGGGCGTTGTCGGCCGTAGCGGGCATGTTGTGGCGACATGGACTTGAAGGCCGCCGCCCTCTCCCACCTGCTCCCACCCGTAGACCATCCTTCTGGAAGACTCAGGTGATGGCTCAAGACTCGTCACTCTCCCACAGATGGGCGTCTTCTCGGCTTACATCTTTATGCATCGCCGTCTGATTCTCGGAGCGACAATGGGGCTAGTCCGAGATCCTCGGGCCCCGCGCCGATAAACCTCGCCAACTCAGGAACGAACGGCAGAACCAATATCGCCGACGCCGGGATTTCGCTTGAGGCCTGGAAAGCACGGGACACGGGGATTGGATTTGCCGCGGGATATCCGGAACGCGGAACGCCGGGTTTGGTGTCAGCAGCTGGATGGGGAGAGGGGAGGGGAGGGGGGGTCACTCTCGCCTGTTGCCGTCCATGGATCCATGTAGATGGGAATTACACGCAATCAACCCAGCACCAGGGGTCCGTGCCGTCGTCCGTTCGCTGGCTGCTTGTTCCCGCGCGAGGGATTCATTGATGATTGGGGCGCCGCTTAACGGTTATCCGTCGTCCCTTACGCTCGCCCTGTGCGAAGTATGTACTTCACTCGCCCGCTGCGTAGAAAAGAAAGGACAAACCCGGATCCTCGGGACCGCGCAATGTAAAAATTTCCCCTGTTTCAGTTTTAGCAACCGTTCGGGGGTGGGAATCGGCCCATCTGGATTCCAGTTGGGCGAAACGGAGATTAAATGGGATAGGACAATGGGGTGGGCTTGTGGTTATTAACGGTTTCGTTTGTCATGGTTCATGGGTCTTTTCTGATGGTGGTGATGGCTTCACATTGTTCTGTCCAAAGGTTTACAGCGAGAGGGGCGCACGGAAACAACGGATGAGAAAGCGGCGGTCTGATGACCTTGTTCTTTGTGTGTGTGAAAGTTTCTTCTGTGTTTTTTTTGTGATTCATGATTTGTTTGGTTTGGTTTGCATTCTCGCCTGTCGCCTGGCATTGCTGAACCCCGCGTACATGATCTGATGACAAAAGCCAAGCATAAAGTGACCAACAGCCTTTGTGTGATGGTCACTTTCTGCTGCCTTTCGTTCGTGTGACACAGCAATAAGTCCCTTTTTCCTCCCTTCCATCGCGCCAAGATGCACACAGGTAAGGCTGCCGCGTAACACAGCCCGCGCTGTGTGTAGTCCGCCCGCTGTTCGAGGACCCTGCGGCGGGAGGGTGAACGCGACTGCGTGCTTGCTCCGATGTCCGATGCAAATTCGAGATGGAGTCGTGAATGGGCGATGGTCGAAGAAAGGGGGCCCAGGTGAAGCGGGGTTGGTATGTTTGGTGGGAGGGCCAAGAGAGTGTTTACTCCAGAAGACAATCTTCCGGAAACTCTAGTTTGTCGGAGGCTTTGTTGCAGTGGGCGAGTAATAGGGGATGACGCGCGAAAATAGCGATGCGGTGTTGCTTTGCTTTGCGTTGCTCTTGGCCCATCCATCTTGGCTCAGGGTTCCCTTTCACTCGCGCGGGGAATGATTGGGGTTGCTCTTTTTTTCCCTTCTCCTTGCTGGTGTATTCCCGCCACACAAAGTTGCCTTGGGCCAAACCCCGGTCCCCTCCTCATGCTCCCCCACGTCGGGCCGGTAATCAAAATCGAACTTGGTCTGGAACTCCTATCAGCCGATGTTTGTATGCAAGGACAAAGTGTCATTGGTAGCGTGTGGCTGTTCGCCTTCGCTCCAGGCAACTCCGCTTGGACGTTTTTGCCAGTGAGAAAAGATCCTTGCGAGGACCAACCGAGAGGGTGTTGACACTGACACTGGCCAGAACCCGTTGGAACCGTCTGGACAAGGCCAGACAGAAAGGAAAAAAAAGTAAAATCAGGGTGATGGGGAAATGATTGCGATGTGCACGAACCTCTTGGATTTCCCGATTGCAGCGAGGGTCGAATTCTTCCCAATCACCGTTCCACCCTTCCGTGTTGCATCCAGTCCAATTCCCGCGTATCCATCCGCAATCCCGTTCCCGTCTCGAAAAAGGGCCCCTCATCAGACCAGGTTTCGGCTGCCAGTTGGGTTGAATTTCGCATCGGTGATGATTGCGTTGGCGCGTCTCATCTAAGGTGGTCCCCCGTTGTGGTTCGCTCCCGAAGTGCGGCGGCGGCGGCGGTGGTGCAATTTGAATGATGAACGGCGGCGTCCCACACTGGCCGTCCGATTGCCGAACGAATGTGACCCTGATCCAGCGCGAGGGAGACGTGAGAACGAAATAACCCAAAGGTAAAAAAAAAATTTGTGCACACCCGTTCGTGCCATGCTGCAATCCGCAAACCCGCAATCCACAATTCCACTCGCACTGGAACCCCTTGCAAGAGGTTGCAGCAGGCGGACGGTAGGCTGCGGTGGATGGACGGCCAGACCTGAGGGAGAAACCTGATAACCTGGTCCTGGTGGTGACGAAAGCCCGGCCGCGTAACGTCCATCCTGCTCCGCGTCACCTCACCTCACCTCATCTCGAATTTTCCTTTGGCTCCTCTTGACCGTCTCTGCTGCTGTGAGAGATTCTGCCTTGCCGCTGCCTGTACACTACACTGGGCGTAGTGCACAGAACAGACGGCGTGACAAACGGCGTTCCGGTTCGCCATGGGAAGGAAACACAATGGACAGGCCAGATTGAACCCACACACACACACTCAGTCACAACAGACACACACCCCTTTCGACACATGGGCTACTGCCGGCCGAGGGCGGCCGGTCCACCCGGGGAAGCAGAAAGAGTGGGCAGTCGGATGTGCAGGAAGAACTGCAATAAGATGCGGTTCCATCTGCAACATTATCGAGTGCGGTCGCGAACGCGAAGCGAAGTGTGCCCTTGTGTGGGTAAACGGGGAGGGGTGTCCAAAGACGGTATGAAATAAAAAAGTGATAGAGATATACAAGTACTTTTTTGAATTTCCTTTGCGTGATTCTTGATGAGATAAGGTGAGATGATGGAGATAGGGTGGAGGGGGCCCCCGATGGATGATTTGCGATTTGCCCTGGAGGACGGGGGTGGCCTAGGGTGGCCTAGGGTGGCCTAGGGTGGCCTAGGGTGGCCTAGACTTGCAGATCGCCGAAGGGGGGTAGGGAGTGGGTGGGAGGGACGATGGATCGCTGAAGGATTCGCTCCCGGGGCGGTCGGGCGGGAATTGGAGGACGAGCCTAGAGCCTTGGAGAAGCCTAGGGAGAGGGCATGGGAATTGGATGGATCATGGTTGGAGATGGGAATAATGGGGGAACATGGACCAATGACTCTTGTCTCCCTCCTAATCCTCCCGCATGTCCTCGCCTCTTCTTCGGATGTGGAAGTGTGTGTATGCAAAGGTGACTGTGTGCTAGTGGTTGTGGTTCTGGCTGATGCCGGGCGGATGATGGATGATGAAAAAATGATGTAGTGATGAATTGTGGTGCTAACAGTAGTTTGGGTATCGGTAAAGAAAAAGCAAAGAAAAGAAAGGAAGCAGCTGTAGAGGAAGATGGAAGAAGAAAGGATCAACCCTCGGTCTGTTCCAGCCAGACGCAGAGCTGGGGCTGCTGGCAGAACGGACCGGGCCAGGCCAGACCAGACCAGACCACTTTGCATGATGGTAAGAAACGCACATCAGTGACTGGACGCGCGCATCCATCCCATCGATCAGGCACACTGGCTGAGGATCAGCAGCAGAAAGCCAGCAGAGTTCAGTGCCAGGAAAACTGGATCGGGTGGCCCCTGACTCGGATGTCAGCGGCCTGTAGCAGGGAGAGGGCGTCGGCGGCGGTGTTCTTGTGGAAGTAGACGACGAACATGTAGCCGGTGTCGGTTTCGCTGGCGGCCATTGTGCTGGAGAGGCGGGTTGTCGCCGAGTTGACGCGGTCGGAGAAGAGGTGCTTTTCCTGAGGCGTCATTGATGGCGGGAATCCTGTTGCTGAGATGCCCATGAAGTTTGACGATGCTCGGGGGCGGAGGGCTCCACTCGGGGAACCCATGGTGGCGATCGCTGGAGAAGCCGTGGTGGCGGTGTTGCGGGTGTAGTTGGGAGAGAGTGAGGCTATCGACGATGGGATGTCGTCGATGTTGCGGAGGAAGACGAAGACGAACACGAAGACGGAGACGGGGACGGTTCCTGTTTGTCGTCGAGGCTGCTATTTGTTTGTGTGCCTGGATGATGGTGGCTCCAGACTATGCGAGTGTTGATCCGGTGGAGTAGCAGTGGGGGTTTGCTCTGCTGTTGTTGTTGGTGATAATGCTGCTGTTGTTGGTTTGTGTCGACAGTTTGTAATCTTCTAGAGACTTCTTGCAGGTACTAAATGATGCGTCGGTTGGATGTCTTTGTCTGGAAGTCCGAGGATGTCGGGTGGCTGTGGGAATCGTCTGAAGATGGCGGACGGTGACGGAAGTGGCCTCAAAGCAAATTGGGGGGAACCTGTTACTTTTGGGGTGGGAAGGTACGAGAAGGAAAGAAAAAAACAGGAAGAAGACACAAGTGAGAAATGCAGCAACTTTTGTTGTCCAAGACGAGGCAGATGCACAAAAAGTCTAACGGGGGGGAGAAAGGAGGCTGGAGGGGATTTCAAAGGGTCTTTATCATCTTACGGCACGGCATCCACGGGACAACGAACCAGACCGGGCGAGTTACACCAGACGGCATCCATCCACCTTCATTCATTTACATACGGTATCCGTACCCTCCATATACCACATCCATACATAGCACCATAGGTACTCCATCCCATGCGGCATGTATGGATCCAGCAGCAGCAGCAGCAGCAGATGTACCTACTTTCTTTACAGAGTAGAGTCCCCCAGTTCTAGCCATACCTGGCCTTACCGCAGTATCTACATGCCTTGCCCTGGGCCTTGCGCATCCTCTCTTCGCCGCCAATGCTCCCACGGCTCCGGGGGGGAACTCGCCATGGCTGGGAGAGAGAGATTTGGAGAGGGGCCCACGGCGTCTGGCTCGCCCTGGACGGGCGTCTGGCTGGACCGTGGACTGTGGGTATCTCCAGTCAAGCGGTCCCTGGCCTGTGGGTTCGGCCCAAACTGTGGCTCTCTCTGTCTGTTTTTCTTGCAGCAGCACTCTGGCAGCCGGCCGGGGCTTCTGGCTTTCCGCTGGGCCAGTCTCTTTCCTTCTGGGCTGCTTGTCCGTGTGGAGTAAAATGGGCAAGGGACAAAGGACCGCGAAGTGTACCAGAGACTGACCAGTGCTCCAGAAGCAACCAGATGTATCCTTGCTGGAACCCTCTGGGCCTTTGCGGCCTTTGCGGTTCTTTTGCTGGGCTGCCTGCTGCGGACGCACGCGCAGCAGCATCTGATGCTACCTACACACGATGGCGGATGGCCAGAGGCCTGGAAGCCTTGTCATACAGTTCCGGTTCTAGAAGCCCAGCCTGGGCCACGGCCCAGCGTGTCATGATGCAGCGTTGCCCAGACTCGACTGCATGGCATCTGCGCAGCGCAGAGTCGCATAATGACTAAGAACACCTTAATTGGGGGACCTGTTCGCTGTCTCCGCCGTCTTCTGCACCTGGCCTGTCCTTGGTTCTCTGCCCGTTTGCCTGACTTGCTACTGGCCAAAGAGTCGAGAAGAGGAGCAGTGGAAAGGATCAGGCTCCGGCAGCTCTATGCTTTTGCCTGCTGGCTGCCGAAGTGACGGGACTCGACTCCCACGGAGAAACCCAGGGATCCTTCTTTGCTTTGAAGTTTGCCCATCTCGCATTGGCTTCTTCCTCTTCCCCATTTCCCATCAAACAGGGCTGTCCAGGGGACCTCACAAGGACTCTCCGGGGCCGCGCTCAAAGCTCAAAGGGTGCCTCAAAGCTTAGAGGGCTCTTCAAGGATGCGGCCGCTATTAATAGGATTCTAGAACAGATTGACTGCGTTTCAGAAACACGAGCCTACTCTATTCTCGTACGAATTTCACCTCCATCCGCTGCCTTTCTTTATTTTCACCAATATCAATGGATCAACGGTTGCATCTTTCTATTTGGCTTCAGGGTCCAATGTGCGTGATATGGCGATTCCGTTCCTTAGCGGCCAGCCCCTCGGGGCTGCATTTGCGAATATTTTGAGTTGAACCTTTTAAGCTGCCATCTGGAGCCCTTGGGCAGAAACGGCCCCCAAGTTTCCTCCTCCCTTTTTTTTTCTTGTGTGTTTTTCATTTCTGTGCGCCTGTTTCTGATTCCCATCCGGCGCGCTTGGCTGGATTTCTTTGACGCTTCATCAATCAATGGTGAGGTTTGTCGCGGTCGCGCTGTTTCGCATCCCGCTTAGTGCGACTTTGACGTGATGAAAGGGCGCTTCCCAAGGACTCGGTAGGCGTCTCTCATGTAATGAAATTTGAGATGAGCGCGCGAAAAAACGAGGAACTGTCATTTCAACCGTTTGACGCCGATTGGACGGCCGCGCTTCAGGACGCATCTTTCGAAGTCGTTGCCTCGGCTTTCGATACGAGCTGGTACGGCGATCAGCGTCTATCATTTCTACTGACAGACAGCTGCACCGACACCAAAACAAATGCACAAGCACATGAGAGCGGCGCGTCAAATCACATTTTCACATTTTCCTCGTATAAGCTCATCGCGGGTGGAGTTGACTCCATTCCCATCGCGCCCTTGCGCCGAAATAGATATTTCCGTCTCGATCGATATTCGGCGAGAGTTTACGCCCGTCCCTTGAACCTTCAGCTTTTCCTCAACCTTTTCTTATGATAGATTGTTTCTCTTTCAGCTTCCTTCTATCTGGCACCGTTGTCTGGCAAAGCCGAGAGGCTCGGAGCCAGGCCTGTCACGCCCGTCAGCCTCCCTGTCAGCAGCATCAGACTGTTTCGATGGCATAAGGTCATGGGTGAGTGCATATAGGCACGCGGGCCACGGGCTGGCACGACCATATTGCGTGTTGTTGTTGTTGTCGACTCGGCCAGCACAGCACAGCACAGCGGACGGACAGCTCCAGTGAGCGATTTTACCGTCCGCCTGCCCATATCTCATTCGACGGGATAACCAAGGGCAATCCACGGGACGGACGAGGTACACTGTGGACTCCGGCCCGAAGTGGGAATATCGTTGCCTGAAGGGCAATGTGTCCCGAACTTCAGACCAACGTGCCTGGCCTGGCCGCCTATCACTCGTCCGTTCTGCTATCATAGAATCAGCGAGCTATCATAGCATGCGGCAAATACTGCGATTTTATCCCCGTAGACGTTTTACCATCCCATATCCAGCCGTATCCAGGGTGCAGAAAAGGGTCTAGGCTGATCGAAAAGGCCATGAATCGGACAACACGAACCTGGGCAAACAAGGTGACCGACTCGTACACCTGGTCTGTAGGGCAGAGGAAGCCATGTCAAACAGCGCAACACAGCCCGCGCGCATAACTCTAGCGGCTGAACGGTTCGATCAATGTAACCTTGTAAGCGAGCTAGACGCGCTCTTGCCCTGCCCTTGCGTGTGAACATCGTGGCGCTTCTTGGTGTTTCGCCAGGCACAATGTGGCATTGATCAAAAGCTGGTGCACGGCACAGAGCTCGAACTCGGGCCACAATGGCTAGGAATAGGAGATTTCGGTTTCGGATTGAGTGCGGTCTGTTGACGGGATTCTGCTCATCCCACTCTCCGTGCTACCGTTACCTACAACCGGACGCAACTCCGGGCCCTTGTTCCGATTGAGCTTCTGCTTTTGCTTTTGCCCCCCCTGGCTAAGGTACCCTTATCCCCTCGACTCGCAACGTCGACGATGCAACACCCAGAAGAAAAAGGTGGATTTGGGGACATGGAGTTTATCCGGTGATGCCCGATTTTATTTTCTGCACTACTGCTGCAGTGCTTCTTTTGTTTTGATAAAACGGACTTCGCGATGGAACCCGCTAACAAGCGAGCGCGGAAGCTTAAGCCTTAATGCCGTGCTCGACTCCTTCGAATTGATTGCTTAGCCGACAAAGTAGCCTGATGCTGACAACTGCCGGCCTAGCTTCCGACGCACCATGATGGATTCGATGGATTGTTCAATGGAGACCGGATCCTCCTTCGACCCTCTCTGTCTCTCTCCAAGCGTGAAGAAGCGTAGGAAGGTGTGTGTCAGTGCTGGACTCAAACGACGCATACGTGGCTCTGGAGAAATGCAGTGAAAGGGGAAGAGGAATGACAATCGACATGCTAACTTCCTTCGCAATGCTACGGTACATGTCCAAAAGGTCACCGGGTCATCTAATACCACTATGGACGTGACAGCTATTTCGGCCGTTGCGACTTCACCACTTCTGCTTCGGAATGACCTTTGCATCCGCCAGTCCCCGGAACACCGTCTCAAACCCGTCCCAAGAGTCCACGTAGCCTGTCCACCCCAGCTGACGCGCCCTGCTCATGCTCAGCACGACATCGTAGTCCCGTCCCCACGCGAACCCGGCAAAGGCCCACGATGCCCTGTCGAGCGCGTCCCCGTCGAGGCCTTCCCGTGCGGCGAGCCGCCTCCACGCCTCCTGGACCTCGCCGCTCCTGCTCCATTCCACCAGGTCGATCCTCTGCCGGATGTGCGACTGTTCTTGCTTCTGCTCGCCACTGGCACTGCTCGTCGCCACGCCGATCGCCTCCGCGGAGAGGGAGAACGGCGTGCGTGCGGCGAGCTTGCGCGCCGACGCTGCCGGGGCCGGACGCGTAAACTGGTCTGCCGGGACGTGGAGGCTGAAGTAGCGGGCGACGCGCGGCCAGAGGTCTTGCCAAGAGGCCGCATCGCCGTTGACGACGTTGAAGGAGAGGTTGCCGGCGTCAGGGGCGAGCGCGACCCAGCGGCAGAAATGGCCGTGGAGGCGGGCGTCTGAAAACATTGTGAGCCTGGTGTAAAAGTCCTCGGCGCCGGGGAAGACGAGCTCGTTGCTGCCAAGCTCGCGCTGGACCGCGGCGTAGATGGCGACGGCGGTGCCGAAGTTCATGAAGTTGCCTTTGGCGAAGCCGATCACCTCGTTTGGGTAAGTTACAACCCAGAAGATGCTGGGGTGGGCGGCGCAGAAGGCGTGAAGGATGCGCTGCTGGCGGTAGTAGAAGTTTGGTGCGAATGGGGCGTCCTCGGGAAGCCTGGGTTAAAGGTAATCGCCAAGTCAGTCATGGCTACATGTTCGGCTCGTACCAGGGGTCCGTTTCTTGCATCGGGATCTTGACCCGACCATGCTGGACGCCATATTGTTTTGCTCCGCAAACGAGAATGATGCGCTTGATCTTGGAAGCGCTGTTGTTCAAAACCAAGGCCTTGAGGAACGCATCCAACATATCGCCTGCGCTTGATGAGTGCTTTGATTCGTACAGGGGTCAGTCAATCTCACAATTGACTTTGCTGGCCTTGGCCTCGGTATCTTGCTCCAAGTAAGCGGCAAAGAAGATTTAATCAGCCTTCGACCCCTTGAAGCTCTCTCGCCATTTCTTCAGGGGTGGCGCATAGGTCCAGATGGCTTTGGACGACATTCTTAGGGAAGTCTTCCTTCTTTGACCAGGAGAGGGCATAGATCTTCGACCATTCTTCCGTGCTGTTGCTGAGCTCCTTAACGATCTCACGACCGAGGATGCCTAACCTCGGCGTCAGTTGCAAGCGCACACGAAGGATAGACCGGGCAACACATGCCTGTGGCACCAGTCACAATGGCTGCAGGCATTTTCAGCTTCTGGTGGACGAAGGTGTTCAGAACAACAGGTAGGTAACGTGATTGCTAAACAGATTTGAAGAGCCTCAATCTATCCTATCGGGGACATTTCGATTTAAATACTACTAATCGAATCGGACAATGCACGCTGGAATTCCTCTAAGGCGCAGTACGGGAGAACGCGGATCGACTAAGGCTCGGGTCCAAGAGCTTGTTCTAACTTACGTTCCACAGAACCAAACCTCCCACACCTATGATTTGCGTTCGAGCTATGGACTGTGATGCTGGCAAAGATGAATGCCACTTGATGACATCATATTATCAGTTGTCATCTCAACAATGAGTCACACAAATCTATCCGTCGGGGAAATGCTCTAGGTCGCACTCCAAGGGCACAAGATTAAGGCGTGACGATGCTGGCGTGTGGAAGCGCCAAAGTCCACACGCCACACCTACAAACGCCGAATTTCGAACCCCAACAACGGTCAAAGACCGATTCTGCGCTAATTGATTGTGAATGCCGAGTTTTGAAACGTCGAATTACTGAATTCAAGCCTATGGTAGAAGACTGTTCGTCACTACACAGACCCCGGTTCGCCCCCATCTTCTCTGCTGTTTCTTACACCAAAATATGGCGTCCCCCTTTGAATGGGCAAAACACTCGGCAATAGACCGACGTGATACGGATTATCGACATCAACACCGAATCTGACGGACGATGAGCTGCGCTTCTGCATCGCCACCTCGGGGGCAGCGCAACTCCCATGCAGCTCCTGATCCCACCAAGGCCCCCTGACGGCATTCGCAATTGCCAAGAAAGTTGCAGCACGGAACGGCAAGCCTCGAGACTTGCTCCGGTAAATATCCAAGCAGCTGAAGATGAGAACGGCAGACAGCATAGCCAACACGACACACAAGACTACTGTCCGCATGATGTAGACATCTTCCGAGACAGCAGTCACCACCGGCACCGTTGCTGTGCCAAAATATCCCGCTGTTGAGATGGCAGCAATTGACTGAGCGATGTTGCCAAAGAAGTGACCCCAGTCCTGCGCTGTAGGAATGGAGTACAGCGTATCGATCGTCTTGTCAATGATTTGAAGCTGCTCGTTTGAGATCCACCACGGGATGGCCGTCATGTAATCTGCGAGTTTGTCGAGCGCGTCGGTGTCTAGGGCCGTTGTGTTGGTGTTGGATTTGCCCTCGCAGTTCGTCATGAGCGTGCCGTTGAACATACACGAACCAACCTCCCATCGGAACTCCGGTGTGCATCTAGACCGAGAAATCCAATGACCCTCTTTCGTCTGCGTCAGGCTAGTGTCGTTGCTTTCCGTAAGGGCCTTGCTGTTGAGAGCTGATGAAGGACCAGCTGATATAAAGTACGTTGTACCGCTGATTGGTACCCCGTTGATGGAAGTATTTGCCCTGCTGTTCCAGAGCCTCAGAGACTGAGACTCTCTCTTCTGGACACTTACGTTGATGGACTGCCTACTTGAGTCTGGCATCGTAAAGGTGTAGGTTGCATTTGAACCATTCAAGGACGTTGTGTAAGGCACATCGATGGCAGCCTCGCAGTTGGCGTCCCAGTGGTACAGCAGAAGTCCGTTGTACGTTGTATTGGAGTTGAAGGTGAGGTTATGCGTGGGGATGGGGCCGATGACACCAGAAAAAACGTCAACCAGCGCGCTCTGGCTGACAATATTCCCAACAAAGGTGTACACGGTTTGGGTCAAGAAATTGTCGTTGTCGTTTAGTGTTTGAGAGAATGTCCCATTTCCATCCCACCCCATCGCATTGGCAAGTCGTCGTACGCTCGAATCGTCGGAGGGTAGGATCGGCAGCCCAACAACATCGAATCCAGGTCTGTTCTCAACGAAGACCCCAGTAGTGAGCATTAGGGTGCCGACAGGAACGATGCTGGTTCGGATGACAATGAGCGCGGCTTGCATCACCGCGTACCACCACGAGTACTTTCCCAGAATCCTCAAAGTCCACGCGCTCGAGTCGTCCCCGATCTTATCAAGGTCAGCTAGAGAGACGGGCCTCTGAGCTGTGAGTGCGAAAAGGCGCAGATGCCGGAAATCGTGCATGATCCATTGAACCAGCATGCCTGCCGGTGCGAGTAGGGCGGAGAGAGCCAAGCCAGAGTAGAGCTGGTTGACCTTCAACTCGTCTGGTGTCCGGAAGACTCGACTTCGGGTGTATCCGCCGTTGACCTCGGGGCCCTGGTAAGTCCAAACCACGGCTGCAATGGCAGCGGCGACATAAACCGAGATACAGACAATGTAGATCTTCAGGAATTTGAAATCCTTGAATGAAAACATGCGGTCTGCTGTCGAGCCTGTGTACGGGTACTGGTGTTGCCCATCGTGTTGAGGCGGGCCGCTTGATGATGCTGCAGACGGCTTCTCGGCCGAGTTCCGGTCTTCGTCGGAGACGTCTCTTCTAAGAGAACTGTACTCGACCCTGGAAGTCATGATGAGAAAAATATCATAAATTCCCTCAAGCTTTGAAAGCTTCAAAATTTTGAACCCGGAAACTTTGAGCACGCGAGCACTCCCCCGTCCGAAGGGATGCAGCGGTTTTGTGTGATCCAGCCCCCAACACGGACACGGACACGGAAACGGAAACGGCTCAGCCCAGCGCTTCCAATCCCCCTGCAAGCTCTGTCACTAATTTTGCTGCCTTCTGATCCTTCTCGCACTCGAGCGGGCACGATCGTCGTTGGGCTGAGATTTAGTGCAACGGGCCGCCCGCTATATGCTGTAATTGGGCTAGCTTTTGCCTTGCGGTTTGAACAAGCATAACGTGGTGCGGTTAGCTGACCAGTCCCTAGGGCCAGCCACAATGCCTTTGTTTCGCCATCTGTGAGCCACCGCGTCAGATGCCTTTGCTTCATTTGAGAAATTGAGTTGTAACACTGCAGATCTGACGGTCGGCGCGCTGGCGATCTGAGTTGGAGCGGTGTTCAAGCTGGGTCTGGTGATTTGATGCCTTCGGATCGTCATGGCTTACGCCGACAAGTTGAGGCTCAACTTCAGCGAATGCTCGGGAGAGATCGTAATCGTCAGGTCACATGTGCATTAATCTGATTTTCCACAATAGTGGCTGCTTACAATGGCCATAGAAGTCTGGCACCCAAGGCTAGAAGCTCGCCAAGTTCATTACGCCGGTTGTGTTTCCACCTCGTTCGGCGGTCAGTTGCTTGGAGGTGTGATGCGAAACAGCAGCCGGGTTATGTTCAACACCAGCAAAAATGGATGTAGAAATCTGCAAAAGTGCAGGGCCCTAACCAGGGATCGAACCTGGGACCTCTCCCAGATGTGGATTTCAATGACGCCAAATCCCTAAGGGAGAATCATACCGCTAGACCATCAGGGCGATAGAAGCTGACGAGGATACAGCCTCGTCGCTATGGGTAAGACTGCAAAATTTATGCAATAAGAAGCTGAGGTTGTGGGCTGAGTTGTGGAGTCACAGAAACCGAATCCAACCCTACAGGTGTGAAATTGCTGCCTGCTCTAGATTGCCCTAGTGTGACACACCCCGGACAGATTTTCTACGCAGGGGTCACACCAGGGATGATTGCGTCTTTCAGCTTGTCGCATGTCCCATCCCATAAATATTCCCTTGCAATTCCAGGTTGCGGTGTTCGCTGCCTCAAGCCGCCCCATAAAATTGGTTTCCTACAACAGATAACGATCAAAGTCAAAGGCAGACTCAGCCTGACCAGCGGCAAGCCCAGCTGTCTTGACTGCATCCCAGTTCACATCGTTGATTCCCACCTCGTAATCCCAACCCTGGTGGGGGTCGGCATTGGGAAGGATTTGCCAGTAGAACCATGGGATCCCTGCAGCATCAATACTGGCGGCCCAGTTGCGAATGTTCGAGTCTCTGGTGCTAGTGCCGAGCGGACTTCCGCCGTTGCAGTCGTGATTGGGAGCATCCGTGTAGCAAGCGCCCCATTCTTGCATGATGAGCTTCTTTCCGGCATTTTGGGCCTTAGTGACATACGGCTGAAGCTTTGACGTGGCGAAATCGTCTACACCGTATGCGTGGATGGCAAGAACGTCTAGAGCGGCGCAGCTGAAGTAGGGATCCAGAAGAGAATTGTCGACATAGGCACCGCCTCCGGTTGTAACTAAGATATCGGAGTTCCCGCTGAGGTTGTCCTTGATCGACTGGGCCATAGTGCACTGCCACGAGGCCAAAGCTGCTGGATTGCCCTGTGGTGGAAGAGAGTCAGTTAAGTCAAGTACTCTGGCGATGGTCAGATCTATGTTCACCTGAGGATGCATGGCCTCATTCTGTGCCTCAAAGGCAAAGATGTACTCGGAGCTCTGGGCCCATGTCTTGCCGTTGTTGGGGTTGACATGACCAAGGACGCGTGCGATACGGGTTTTGAAGTAGGCCATGGCATCGTTGTTGGTGTAAAAGTCTCCGGTGCCATACCACTTTCCATAGAAGTCACGGTTTCCTTCGAGCGCGTTGTAGCTGTGGATGGAGATGAGAAGCTTGATGCCATAGCCATGGGCGCGGTTCATGAAGCTGTCAAGTCGGTTGAGCACTGTTTCGTCCCAGGCGTCAGGACTGTCGCCTTGGAGAGGGTTGAAAGTGTCAATGTTGCTGCCC